TAATCTCAACTAACACACTACATCGTCACAATATTACATATACATGTTCATTATTATGAAAGAATTGTTTCAACTGAGACTAACAGAAACTATAAGAAATAGATGGAAGATGAAATTGAAATAATTCGGGCCTAAAATCTAGAGTGGTACTGAAAATAAGCAAACAAATATACAGATGGAGAAATAATTAAAGGTACATACGAACCGAGCATTGGTGGAGCGTGGATTCCCAGTAACACATGTAAACCACTTCTACTAGATTCTTATATGACTCAAATAAATTTGACATGCCAAGGAATAAACTGTAAAGATCACTCGATCAGCCATAAAAGACCTTTAGACTGCTCCTTTCTTTAAATTTATGGTTGTAAATTTAACCTATTTCCGTGACCTACTTTCCTGCCCCATTGACATACAGCTTAGAATGCCAGCAGAAAAATCTGTTCAAACGTCATTTTCGGGTAAAATTAAACTGCTACAATGCCTTTTGGTAATTCTCTTAGTTATACTACTTGAAACTATATGCTGGCATTTGGTTGGTTTTTGTGACAAAACATTGACTTTGTATGTATCTTTAAATGAATATAAAGGAAAAGTAAGGAAAATGTAAATGAATGACATGAGATTGAGTAAAGACCCTGCAGACTTTGACTAATTTTAAGAGATATTGGATAGTTTCAGCCTGTAGCCACATTAGAAGGGCATACTGGACCTGTCACTGCTCTAGACGCCCTCTACTGTCACAACATGGAGCCTGGATTCTGTACAACATTGATTGCTACAGCCTCCTCAGATTCCACAGTAAGAATATGGCAACGTGAAGAAGGTAATTGTTCACTTTCTTTCTCTCTTTGGTTACAATTCACAAATCAAAATCTATCAAGTATGTGAAACTGCATAGACAGCTGTGTTTAATTGAATATTTCAGGGGGTTTCCAGTATCAGCAAAGTATTCCATTTGGCAGTGGTTTTGCTCTTGATGTTAGCCTAGCTGTGTTACCAGGAACAGCAGGTAATGTTTTGCTGTTGATGTTAGCCTAGCTGTGTTACCTGGAACAGCAGGTAATGTTTTGCTGTTGATGTTAGCCTAGCTGTGTTACCAGGAACAGCAGGTAATGTTTTGCTGTTGATGTTAGCCTAGCTGTGTTACCTGGAACAGCAGGTAATGTATTAAGTTTGGATCCTTCTACATTTGTTCAAACCTCAGGATTTGATAAAAATGTCAATTGGGAAAAGGTGAAAGCAGTAGAAAGTATGTAATTTCCCACATCATATATACCATTCTGTTCTCCATATCTTGTGTAGTGAAATGTTTGTGTTCTGTGTTTTAGTTCCAGTGTTGGCATGTGGTGCAGATGATCACAAGATTCACCTGTTTGTACTGCAACATGGACAGGTAAGGCTGTGTGAAGTGGTGTCCAACTGGACAATTGTCAGACAATTGTCAGTTGAGATGTTGTTAGCTTATGTTAGTTGAGATGTTGTCAGAATATGTTAGTTGAGATGTTGTCAGAATGTGTTGGTTGAGATGTTGTCAGAATGTGTTAGTTGAGATGTTGTTAGCTTGTGTTAGTTGTAAAAAATTGACTTAATTCTAACAAAAATTAATTATTTACGTGGTGATGATTTAGCATTGATAGTGAAAGTGTATATTTCAAATAGTTGTATATTTTGTCAGTTCCAGAGGAGCCAAAGCTTACCTGGTCATGAGGACTGGGTACAAGGAGTAGAGTTTTCACACAATGGTAGGTATGGCTGTGAAGAGTTCAGGTTACAGTTAGAGAAGTCAGAGGTTGTCTAGTCATGAGGACTGGGTACGAGGAGTAGAATTTACACACAATGGTAGGTATGGCTGTGAAGAGTTCAGGTTACAGTTAAAGAAGTCAGAGGTTGTCTAGTCATGAGGACTGAATACAAGGAATGGAGTTTACACACAATGGTAGGTATGGCTGTGAAGTGTTCAGGTTACAGTAAAAGAAGTCAGAGGTTGTCTAGTCATGAGAACTGAGTACAAGGAATGGGGTTTATACACAATGGTAGGTATGGCTGTGAAGTTTTAATGTTACAGTTAGGCCACACTTTTTATGTACAGACACAGATGTGTCTGTACATATTGCCATCACCTGCATCTGTCTTTGCCGTCGCCGATGCCGATGGCGATGCCGATGCCGATGCCGATGCCGGCGCCTTGCACTTTCCTTGTTTATTTTTATGTATGACATCCTGCATGCGCACCGATTTTTGTCCGTTTTCCAAAAAAAAAAAAAAAAAAATCCCCCCCCCCCCCAAAAGGAAGTTTCGAATTTGCCGGAAAATGCAATCGGCAATCCTCGGCTAATTCCGCAAGCTCCATACTGTCATTGTCGACTGCGTAGACATCCGAGTAGTTCCGAATGCGGAAAATGAGCTTTCTGTGCATGCGTATTATCACCACGCGGAAATATGGCCGCTTTGCCGTCAAATTCATCTCTAGCATTAATTTCAAAATACACGACAATTAAAGTCATAAAGAGAACGGGGGCCGTCGTTTTGGATTGGTTTGCCATTGATATTGGACATGGAGATATCACCTTTTTACAATTATACGAAAGGCTGGCCGCGGCCAGCGATCATCGCCCGGAAAATTTCAGTGACATTCTGTCCAAAGCAGCACATACCAGGTTTTTTTTGTAGCGAAAAAAAGGTTGACAACAGCGTCGTGGTATTTGGTGGACTGAAGGTCGGACAGGCCACCCGAAAGTTGGCTGCTACGTGTGAGTCGAAGTAGACAAAATGGCATCGACCTTAAATACCTTTTTAGATTTGGTAGTAGGAAGCATAGGCCTACTGTATCTTTGCTTCATTTTTTTAACAATTCTGTGAAGTGTTCACAATGCTTTAATTTTATGAGAGTACAAGTAAAGACACGCTGTTTATTTGATATTTGTTTGCATGAAATGCATGAAATAACCTTAAATAGATTTGGCAATATGCAGCATATATATTCATGACTTTTTACCTTTCTACGAAGTAGGCCCTATTCACAACGCTTTAATATTTTGAGAGAATGGATAAAGACATGTTGTTAGTTTGATACGTGTTTCTGTGGTTAATTAGTGTTTCCAGCTGTGTACTGAAAACATAACTTTTCTTAAGCAGTTTTTTTTTTTTTTTGGACTGTTTTTTTTTTTTTT